CACACATGCAGGTATTTTTCATTCAACTTACTGCCATATGTAGCCATAACAACCTCAAGGGCACAGGCCAGCAAAGAGACGTGGAAGATGTTGTTGTTCAAAAGTTTGCTGTGAAAGAAGAGAAGAAAGTCTCAATGACAGGTTTCAACGTTTTGGAAACGTGAAGGATCTCTGAAGTTATGTTTTTACCAGCATACCTAAAATTGTGAATTGACAGTCGTTTTTCTTCCTGGAATAGAAGCACAGAATGAACACAGGTTTTAACATACCAAAAATACAAAACGGAACAACAACAACAAAACCACCAACTGTACAAATTGTGTATTATGGTGGCCTACCGATTTTAAGATCGATTCCATCACTCTGTAGTATAGCCGCACTCCGAGCCTGTACCGCTAAAAATAACGACACAAAGAAACAAAGCGGCATAATAATTACTAACACGATCCCATTCTCTAAGAGCCGAGCATTCCCCGAAATATTTCTGTTCTGTTTTGACGAATGATTCGGTTGGGCAGCTTAAAGGAACAGCCCTACTCACGCAGACATTTAAAAGACAGGATTAAAACCAGGACATTTGTAAGTCAACTCCCAAGCACGATCTGCCTCTAGAGATGTGTCCTGAGGAACACCCCAAATGCATGGAGTGGAGATAAGAAAAGAGTGAGCAGGGTGCTAGACTTCCTATGTATACCTCAATACTAGAAAAGCTAGAGGAACTCACTGCTTGAATTTGCTTAAAAGAACCAAGCCAAACCAATGGGGGGGTTTTAAGCTTCAGAAGGCTGGAACGCTAATCTAATCTAGAAACAGAACAAGAGTTTATATAAAGAACCGGGACATGCGTTTAGCAACACACACGACAGGGGCAATGAGAAGGCAGCAACAGAATGGAAAAGGCTGGGAACGGAGGGCACTTATTAAAGGGAGGTACAAACACAGCTGCGGTGGCTCCAGTGTTTAAGACGCTGAACTGCAGGCTGTGGAAGGTCGGTAGTTCAGCAGTTCGAGATCCGAGTGTGCCGCATGACGGAGTGAGCTCCCGTCTCTAGTTCCAGCTCCTGCCAACCTAGCAGTTCGAAAGCAAGAAATTGCAAGTAGATAAATAGGTACCACTTCAGTGGGAAGGTCACAGCATTCCGTGTGCCTCGGTGTTTAGTCATGCCGGCCACATGACCACGGAAACGTCTTCAGACAGCGCTGGCTCTTCAGCTTTGAAACGGAGATGAGCACCGCAACCCTAGAGTCGGACTCGACTGGCTTTCGAGCAAGGGAACCTTTACCTTTTACAAACACAGAGCTGGAAGGGACCCAAAGGGTCATCTAGTCCAACCCCTTGCACAATGCCTGAAATTCACAGCTACCGCCCCCACCAGTGTTCCCTCTAAGCTGAGTTAGTGTGAGCTAGCTCACAGTTTTTTAGCCTCCGGCTCACGCACTCTGGTCTTCGCTCAGGAAGGAGGGCTCCGGAACAAACTAGTTTATGCAGCAGCCAACTCACTCGCTCACAACTTTAATGCCGGTAGCTCACAAAGCAGAGTTTTTGCTCACAAGACTCCGCAACTTAGAGGGAGCATTGGTCCCCACCCCACTCTCCCCTGCTCTATGTTCAGAGGAAGGCAAAAACAAGCAAAAGAAACCCTCCAGGATCCCTGGGCCACCCTGGCTTGAAGGAAAATTCCTTCCTAACTCCAAAGTGGGTTGTTAACGGGAGTCGTGGTTTCCAGCTTAGTAGTCAAGCATCAGAGGTCAGCCGAAAAACAGAGCAGGTTCTACAGTATTTCACTTGTCCTCGGCATCATCTGGAAGTAAGGGGTACAACTTACTTCCTGAGGACAAATAAACGTGCCTATTAGAGTTATTCCTCCATAAAGTTTAGCGTTCCCAAATGTTACTCAGTCTCTGCCTTTTCTGCAGCTCCCCTTTCTGGTGCAACAAGAAAAGAGATACGTTCTTTTCTTGCTTTGGATCACACATTAAAACTACACGGTTGAAAAACCGGGACCTGATCAAGACAAGCTGCTTGCAGAAGAAGCTCTGAAAACTGCCACAGCAACTAACAAATAGTGCAGTTTTCAGCAGTCAGGGGATTCTGTTAATTCTGATTTTGACAAGAGGGGGGAGAAAACATGGTATAATTCGGTTACGGTTTCCGGGGGACCATTCTTCTAGCACATCACAAGCACTCAACCATATAATGAACATCCCCTATCTCAGCATCACCCGCAACTCAAAGCACAGAACAGTTCCACAGGGTCCTCCTTCCTTACCCTACATTCATTCATAGACAGCAATTAGAGAGTATTTACCTGTGATCCAATTTCAATACATCCTTGCCCAACTGCTTCAGCAAATTTCTGCTTGAAGACACAACTAAGATTTTC